AACTTCCGGAGAAGAGTGGAGATTCAGTTGAGTGTATAACACACAACCAATCAGTGAAAAACTCCACAATCTTTCCCTAGATCTCTACCTTTGTCCCCCACTCTCCTTCCCATACTCCCTCTACCTGAGTAATATCTGCATTTGAAAAGGTTCTGGAAAATTTATTCATGTCATAGGCTAAGACCAGACTTCAGACAAAAGGCCAGGGTAAATATGTAGACAGAAACAATCATAGGATGGAGCAGGGAAATGCTCACTGAGCTTGCTGTCAAACACTCCATACTGGCTGTAGGATACTGTTTAAGCACTTGAGCCAGTCCTTCATCTGTAAAACCTAAAATAGGAATAGTACTCATACTGTTTGCCATCACATACTGTGGCAACAATTACATGAGATTATATACACATGCTAATACCTAGTGTGTATTGTGTATAAAATAGGCATTTATATATCTATATACAGATGTATATTGTAATTGTAATGTGTGCAATCTTCCAGTCTCCCATAACAGCTTAATTCAAAGATAAATGCATCCTATAGACAGAGACTTCTTTTATGTCTCATTAAAATTCTTTATCTAAAATTTGAATTAACTCAGTTGAATAGAAATAAGAAGGTAGCTTCAAATAATAAATGTATGGCCCCATGGGTGAGGAATGAGCACAGCATGTTCAGCAAGCATTTTCCCTACACTTTTGCGTCACTCCCACCAATCCTTCTTACCTCCTCATGAGACCATCCTAGATGTCTTGTGAAGTTGAAGAGATCAAGCCTTGACTTTCATAGGTGAGGTAATATTACTTATCTTACCAAAGAGTACTTATTACCAAATAAAATTTTTTCACACCCCATAATTTAATAAATTTCTAGTGATAGAAATTGACAATCCAATATATTGTTTTTAGCAAGCCTATCTTCCTGTTTTTTCTGTTTCTCTGTCTCTCTTTCACATACACATACACACACACACACACACACACACACACACACACACACACAGACACACCCTGTTTTGCCCTACATTGAAAAAGGGACTGTATTATGTCCCCCAAAAAACACAGATAGGAGAAAGTGGCTTGGTAGACCGTGGTATTTCTTCTTTAAGGTTTACATTTTACATATATATATATTTTATTTATTATACTTTAAGTTCTAGGGTACATGGGCTGAACGTGCAGGTTTTTTACATAGATATACATATGTCATGGCAGTTTGCTACATCCATCACCCCGTCATCTACATTAAGTATTTCTCCTAATGCTATCCCTCCCCAGTCCCCTCACCTCCTGCTATCCCTCTCCTGGCCCCCTACGCCTCAACAGGCCCTGGTGTGTGATGTTCCCCTCCCTGTGTCCATGTTTTCTCATTGTTGAACACCCACTTATGAATGAGAACATGCAGCGTTTGGTTTTCTGTTCTTGTGTCAGTTTACATATTTAAATATACCTGAAAACCGCCGGTTATAAACATGACTGCAATTTCTACTTTTCAGTCCATTTTTGCAGCATGTAGCTAAGATCTTAGGTCAGAAGTTTATTTGATAAGCTTCATTCTTTCCCAGATAAAATCAGGAGGCTGCCGATCTCCTCCATTGTTTCTTGTGCAACGGAGGTAGCAAAAGTAATCACAAGAGGGACTGCAGCACTTTTCTTCTCCCCTAAAATGTCCCTCATCCAAGGTGAATGGTCAAGGGTGTCTGCTACTATCCTACCAACGGACTGAAGGAACTGGCTGAGAGGAAAGTTGATGATGTATAGGACCTAAGAGGTAAGGGAAGGAGTAAGGTAAACGGTGTCAGAATAAAAATCATAGATGGAAGAATTATCTGGGAACCCTGGCACCTTATCTCCAGAGTCTAGAAAAAAGGAAGGTGGCTGCAAATGTAGATAGTTTACGGGTTTTATGACAGGAAGGTGTGGGATTAACATTTACTATGTTTGTTTCCTTGGCAACTTCTGGGAGAAGGTCATCTCTAGAAAATGAGAAAGTGAGTTAGGAAGGTAAGGAGATTTGTAGTAATCACTAAGGGAAAGAGGAGACAAAGAAATGTGAGTAACACTTAAAAGCTCTGCTAAATAAATAACCCAAAATTTATGGTGTCACCAATTTTATGCTCTAGTGTATCATCTCCAGCAGCTCTCAGTAAAGAAAGTAGAGGGGGCAAATGCAAATTGCAGGATTTATTTATTTATTGAATAAATATTTATTGAGCATCTACTATGTGTTAGGCACTGTGTTAGAAGCTTGAGATAAGACCGTGACAGAATAGACAAAATTATTTGGTCTTTTAGACTTTACATTTGGAGGAGAAATGCAGAAAATAAAGCCAATGAATAATATTATAGTATATCATGATAAGTACAGAGAAGGGGATGGAGCATGTTGAGACAGAAGATGGTTTCTCATTTTGGATAGGGAGTGTGAGAAAGACCTCTCTGAGAGGTTGAAAGAGAGCTATTCAGTTTTCCGGAAAGCATGCTTCAGGCAGAGGGACAGCAAGTGCGAAGGCGCTAAGGCAGGAGTGTCCACGGGGAGTGTGAGGAATGGGCAAGAAGCCCAGTGTGAGGACAGGACCAATGTGTGCAAGGAGTAAAATGGTATAAGTTAAGTTCAGAGAGGGAAAGGTGGAAGTCTGCTTTGGATAGGGTCTTGTGGCCCATAGCTTTTAAATTGATTCAGTGTTGAAAGTTTGAGGGAATATGAGGTGTGAGGACGGGGCACGGGAGTGTTGAGAATGTCAGTGAAAGTAAATTTCAAATGATCATTGAGAAGGGAAGGAAGTGAATCCAAGAGTGGGCAGGTAAACTGGGAGCTTTGTGAAGAATGGGAAGAGAATCAGGAGAGAATGAAAGCACAGAAAGCAAGGGATGAAGAGTTTCTAGGTAGGGGGTATGCTTATTAATGAAAATTATCATTTATTTAGCATGGGTGATGTACTAAGTACTTTGTGTTATTATCACATTTAAATTTCTCACCCACCTGATGTGGTAATCAATATTATTATCCAAATGTGCAGATGAGCAAATTGCAGCATAGAGAGAATAAGCCACATACTCAAAGACATGCTGCTGGTCAGTGGCAGAACTAGGATTTGAATTCCATTAGTCTAACTTTTGTGCTCCCTTCTTCTCTTTTCCCTGCAGTTTTGCTGAGGTATAATTGACAAATAAAAATTATATGTGTTGGGCCAGGCGCAGTGGCTCAGGCCTGTAATCCCAGCACTTTGGGAGGCTGAAGCGGGTGGATGACGAGGTCAAGAGATCGAGACCATCCTGGTCAACATACTGAAACCCCGTCTCTACTAAAAATACAAAAAATTAGCTGGGCATGGTGGTGCGTGCCTGTAATCCCAGCTACTCAGGAGGCTGAGGCAGGAGAATTGCCTGAACCCAGGAGGCGGAGGTTGCGGTGAGCCGAGATCACGCCATTGCACTCCAGCCTGGGTAACAAGAGCGAAACTCCGTCCAAAAAAAAAAAAATTGTATGTGTTTAAAGTGTACAACTTGATGTTTTGATATGCTTTGCATTGTAAAATAATCACCCCCATCAAGCTCATGGTCATATTCATCACTTCAAATAGTTTCCATTTTCTTCTTTCTCCCTTTCCCTGCCCCGCCCTCTCTTTCTTATTTTTTTTCTTTCTTTTTTCTTTTCTTCTTCTTCTTTTTTTTTTTTTTTTTTTTTTTGGTGAGTACATGTAACATCTACTCTCCTTGAATGCTCATAAGACACCTACATGACTAGGATGAATGTAGATCCCTAGGAAGTGGCCAGTAGGACGTTATTGGTGAGAGTCGATGGGAATGGAGGCAGTACTTTGTAGTAATTTAGTGACTCAGTAGATAGCAAGAAAGTGGAGGCAGCAGGTGTTGGATTGAAGAGACAGGGGCGTTATGGATAGGGACATCAAGATAATGTAGATTCTTTTTTTTTTTTTTTTTTTTTTTTTTTTTTTTTAAGAGAGACTTACATTGGTTTATAGCCTGAGAGGAAGGTGCCAGAAGAAAATGACACAATGAAGACAAAAGTGTGAGTTTAATAAAATAGAGAGCAAGGTCAAGGAACAAGTGTGTAGGGTTGGAGTTATGAAATAGCCTGGGAAAGGAATACTCTGTTTTATAGACAAATAACTGAGGACCAGAGAAATAAATGGTGAACCCAAGGTTATAGAAACAACTAAACGGTAGCTCAGGGATCAGAGTCCAGGTTTTCTGATTGCCGAGACAGGTGCTTTCCACTTGTCCACCCAGCAACTCCTGCTGAATCATCCTCTGCTGGTTACTTATCCCCATTCCAAAGGAAATTATTGTAGTTAATGAATAAATACAGTGTAGCCAAAAACCACTGTAAACGCACAGCTCTATAAAACACAAACGATACCTTGTCCTTCCAGTTTCCCTCAAAGTGCCCTCTCCTCAGCTCATTCGCACTAATGACTTTTCTTGACTATAAACTGCCTTCAAGATACTGAAGTGGGGACTCAGGTGGAGGGAACTAAAGTCACCCTCAGGGAATTTCTTGCTGAATTAGATTCCACTAAGCCTTGAAATCAAAAAGCTTCTGGTAGGTAAATGGAGTACAGGTGGGAAATCAAACTAGTGTGTGACTGGGCATGATTTAGAGCAACTGTTATTGATTTGACAGATCCTAATAAGCAACCTCATGAGAGCCTGGATTTTGGTTGCAATGCAAGCAGGTGAAATGAATAATTGCACTTTTGACTTTTGAATTTCCTGCACCTTGCCAGTGGTTATTACAGCCATAATCTGGGCCAAGTATATTCTAAGGAGGCTTTTGATTTAAGAACCTAGAATTTTTGAGAGGCATGCAATGTTCATTGTACCTCTATGCATAAGATTTTATGTAGATATATTGATAATGCAAAATTTTATATTATATGAAATTTAAGTTTTTAACTTTGGGGGAATAACAATAGTTTATTTCTAACATACGGTATCTTGGTCAAACATTGAAATTCTGGATTAATATTTAACTACAAGAAGTATACTCAGTTCAAGCAAAGAATCAGTTTCAGGTTTCAGGCTGAAGTGTCTTGATGACTGGAATTCAGGTTGCAAGCAGAAGCCCACAAGGCCAAGGGTATTGGATATAACGGAAGTGGAAGCTATACCTGACTTTTAGAGAATGTGGACTGGATATCAGATCTTAATCTTCTCTTATCTTACTACAGAAATCTGGATGGAGAAGCAGTATTTATCTCAAAGAGAAGTGGATCTAGAAGCTTATTTCACTAGGAATCACACCATTTTGGAAGGTACTCGATTCAAAAGAGCCATTTTCCAAGGACGATACTGTAGAAATTTTGGTTGTTGTGAAGACAGAGATGATGGCTGTGTCACTGAGTTCTATGAGGCAAATGCATTGTGCTACTGTGATAAATTCTGTGACAGGGAAAATTCTGATTGCTGTCCTGATTACAAGTCCTTTTGCCATGAAGAAAAAGAATGGGATCCTCACACACTGCCTTGGTATCCAGAAGGTAGGCTTTGAGAATGTGTTTCAACATTATCCTCATTCATAACAACATGATCTGACAAACTTACTCTCTTTTTCTTCTTTATTTTTTTCCTTCTTTCAATGAAATAAAAACAACTACTGTGATTGAGAAAATAAATTTATTTGGATTGTTAACGTGCTTTGGTTTGGATGTGGGGTTCCTGTGTAATACCAGCACCTTCAGGTAAGTTCTGATTTGACGGTCCTGAGTGCTGATTGGAATCTTGATCAGTGAGTTTTGAACACTCACTCAATTTATATAAGGATTACTTACAACTCTTTCTTTTCTTCTCTTCTCTCTCTCTGCTTTGTATTGACATCAGGATTCTCAAGCCTTTTTGTGTGTAACCTCTTAGTCTCAAAAAAGTCACAAGATTTATTATCTGTAGATTTAGTTATTTCAAGGGGCTAATGGATGCACTAGCATTAGAAACTGTGGTAATAGTGATGCTATTAAAACTAGGATAAAATAAAATAAAGTCAGTCACCTAACTGTAGTAAGTGGTACTACACTGCCTAAGTAATAGCAAATATATTCTTCATGTGTATTTTTGTTTTGCTTCATTTTTTTTCCAGTCTGAGAGTTTTAAAATTATCAAAAAAGAAAGAGGATTTCATACAGAGTAGCGGAAAACATCTAAGGTTAAATGGATAAACACAATGTAAGGAGGATGATAGTATTTACTATTGATCTAATTCGAGGAGAATGACTATGGATTTTGAGCATTTGATATAACCAAGTTCTGCAACAAAACCAAACAAAATTCTACAGCTACATTTAGATGAGGCTTTATTTTTCTTTCTCTCATTGTATTAAATCTCCTCAGCAGAACTTCAGGGTTAATCAGAGGTCTCTGTCACACTATCGTAAATGGGTGATGGTGATTAGAAATCACAGTTAGAAGACACTTTGGGGTAAACTAGGGGCTTGGAATCCTTATTTCAAAAATCCTGATGTCATCTAAAAAGTCAGAGCAAGACTCTGTGCCAAAAAAAAAATAAATAAATAAATAAATCCAGATGTCATAGCCTTTATTCTCAATAATGTCATCTTGTTTGTAAAATTTAGAAAATGCCTCTTTATGTGTTTACATATGCATTATTTTATATTTTCCACCTGTTATTTATCTGAGGCCTTTACATTTTTCCAATAAATAGCTTTCCCTTCTTCCTTCCCTCCACCCCTCCATCCTTCTCTCTTTTTTTCCCCTTCCTCCCTCCACTTTGTGTGTGTGTGTGTGTGTGTGTGTGTGTGTGTGTGTGTATGTGTGTTGCTGCTCTGTCACCCAGACTGGAGTGCAGTGGCAGGATCATGGCTCACTGCAGCCTCGAACACTTGAGCTCAAACAGTCCTCCTCCCTCAGCCTCCTGAGTAACTAGGACTACAGGTATGTGCCACAATACCCCAAAGCTAATTTATTTTATTTTTTTGTAACGATGGGGTCCTGCTATGTTGCCTAAGCTGGTCTCAAAACTCCTGGTCTCAAGCGATCCTCCTGCCTTGACCTCCCAAAATGCTAGGATTACAGGAAGGAGCCATTGCATCCAGCCTTTCCTTCCTTCCTTCCTTCCTTCGTCCTTATGTCCTTTCTTACTTCTTTTCCTTCATTTTCTTCCTTCCTTCCTTTCATTCCTTTAATGTTTATGAGCCATTCCCATCTTTCTCCAATGGTAAACTCCTTTTAAAAAAATGTTGCATACCCTTTTACAGCATGTAGTCTTATCTTGTACAGAGAAAAGGCGAGAGCATGAGCTTGAATTATTAATTTATATAGACCATATTATGCTACAGACCTCATTCTGTTTCTTGATTTTCTCAGACAGCAGCATGTTTTAAAACTCTCCCCATGTCTCCATGGGCTAGTATGACTAGTCTGTGGCTTCTGCCTGATGCCTAATTCCCTATGATATCCTTTCATCTCATCTAATTCCCTGTTTCCTCCATGGTGGGTGGACACCTAGGTTGTCTACAGCTCTTTGCTATCATAACAAAGTCCATGAAGGACAGCTTCATGCGTGCCTTCTCATTGACTTGCATGATACAGGCAACACTTGGATTGCTGAGTCCCAGGTATGTATTTAATCTAAGTCTTGCCAGATGGCTCTCAGAAGTAGCTGCATGAATTTATACTCCTCTAGTACTATATGGGGACACGTCTCTAGCAGTATTATCCAGATGGGTAACCGTTACTTATATAATCAGTAAAACATGATTGCTCATTGTCATTTTAATTTGAATTTCTCTAATTTCTAGTGGGTTTGAGCTTCTCATAATATGCTCATTAATGTTTGGCTCTCTTCTTCCTGTGACTTACTTTTTCCCATCTACAGCCTTGTAATACAACTTAATATCTGGTATAGCAAGTCAACTTAGTCAACCCTCTTTTTTTGAGGATGACTTAGGTCATGTAGACATTAATCTTCCATAAACAGGTATTCAATACATTTTTCTAGTTCCTCAAAAAACTTTAGCTAAAAATTTAAATAGAATTGCATAAAATTTATAGACTTGTTTGTACACAGTTGAACTCTGTAATGTGATGACATCAAAGAGTATAGGATGTTTCTCCACTTACTCTGATTTTTAAAAATATCCTTAAATAGATTGAACACTTTTCTCCATAGTAGCTTTATAATACTTTTTTTGTTTATTCTTGGATATTTTAAGATTTATTTTGTATTGCTTTTTTTTTTTTTTTTTTTTTTTTTTGAGACAGGGTCTCACCTTGTCACCCAGGCTAAAGTACAGTGGCACCATCATGGCTCACTGCAGCCTCGACCTTCCCCAGGCTCAAGTGATTCTCCCACTTTAGACTTCCAAGTAGCTGGGACTACAAGCCTGTACCACCATTCAAGGCTATTTGTTTGTTTGTTTGTTTTTTTGCATTTTGAGTAGAGACTCAGTTTCTCCATGTTTCCTAGGCTGGTCTCAAATTTGTGAGCTCAAGCATTGTATCACTTATTTAAAAAATATATTTTATAGTTGGTTGGCTGTTGTTATGAATAAATGTTATTTATTCATGAGAGCTCATGTCCTATGTGGCAATTTTTCTCAATTCTAATACTAGAAGTGAAAACATATTTCTTTATCATGGTAAAGATGTCTACACCAAAACTCCAAAGTAAACATCATACATAACGGAGAAATTATATGTGTGTTCCCTTTAAGATTAGTAATGAATGTCTACCGTTTTTGCTACATTTAACAAAGAGATTTTTGTTATGCTCTTAGAGAAAAAATGAAGTAAAAGAATTTGAAGAAAAGAAATAAAACACTCATTATTTGTGGATAATGTGGTAATCTACATAGAAAAAATAAAACCAACAGAAAATAGCATGAATATGAGTTAGAAATATTTAAACCAGCAGTTTTTATTAAAAAATCCAGATGTTTAGCTACTCCTGTAAAGTTGAAAGATCTGACAGTTCTGGGTCCAGGTTCTTGTATGGTAACCATCAGTTAGAGATGAGTGGTGGATGACATCTTGTGGTAACATGTGTAGTTTCTATTTTCCCATATACCTCACCCCTTGCTATTTCCTCTCTGACCCACTTCTCTCATTTCTGCCAGGGGTCAATATGTCTGTTGTTTCTGTAAGTGGAGCTCCTCATTTTTGTTCAATATACAACTTGCACCACTGCACATGGTCCCTTGGGCCATTACTATTGTATGTGTTTCGAAATTGAAAGAAGGTGATTTCTTTGAAAATAGAAGGTATATTTCACTGAAAAATAGAAAATGCATGTTTAAAAATAGAAAATATTTTCTATTAAACATGTATTTCGCATGTATTGTCACATGACAAAATAGAGAAGTTCAATGAAAATACACCCTCAAAATGTGGTTTTAATGTTGAACTTCTCTATTTTGTCATGTTGGTATGATCATTAAAATAATAGGTGAAGTTAATATATGTTAATAACATGATGATAATACATAAGGCATCATAAGGAGTCCTGTGCCTAGGATTAGTTAGTGTACTTATTTAAGTATAGTTTCTAATAGTGACAAGATTAGGCAGTCAGGGAAATTCACCCCTCATAGAACCTGCGTATGGTAGATAATTAACAGACCCCTCTGTAACATACGCTGAGTAGCAAGTTTTCTACACTTGATCTTAGCCAAAAGGCCAAGAAGCGAAGCCATGAGGAGCAAGTTTTCTATTGTCTTAATGAACCCACTCTTCCTCCTCCTGTAAGCTAAGATTTATGGAATACTTACTATGGCGCCAACAATTGTTCCAAGCACTTTTCAGGTATTAATTCATTCATTATTTAATTATTCATTGTTTAATAGAATATTACTTTATTTTAATTAAATGGCAGCTTCCTGAGAGTAAACATGGTGATTTACTTACTGTATACTAATTATGGTGCCATGAGGAGGGAGGCCTAGTAAATATTGGTTGAATTTGGATTAACTGATATTTAGAGGGTTTTAATTTTCTTTCAAATTTTATGTTTGTTAAATTAAATAATAATGTACATATATGATATAAAAGAATAAAAATATTTTCATAAGTGTAGCTTTTCATGCATTAAGTAGTTTTTATAAGATATTTGGAAAGTATCAAAGTATTATTGTTTGTAGTTTAAATGTGCAATTTCTATATTATTTTGGATGTTGGAACATTAACAGGAGTAATTGATAGTGTTTAAAACTTTTCATATATCCATGATTGTGGTAAGCATTGAGGGTCATAAGAAAAGAGTATTATAAAGTTCCAGACCTTGAGAAACTTAGCATCTACATAGGTAAGGAGACTTAGGTATGTAAAACAATCAGGAAGCATTGTGTGTGACTAGTATGCCATATACAGACAAAAATATAACCCTGAAAAGTTGAGTATATTAAAATGGTTAATGTTTATTTGATAAAATGGTTAATGTTTAAGCACCATGAAGAATGTGTCCGATTGGTGACAACTCTAACTAAAATACATATTTCTAACACATGGGATATTTTGCCTGGATTCACTTTGT